GCACAAGATTCAAGGTGGTTTGTGGTTTGTGCCGCGTCACACAGTTTGCACAACACTGATAAATTCAAAAGTTTTGCGCCCCTGGAATGTTTTTCATACCATTTTTTAACGGTGCTTCGAGCAATCCATCAAAAATACATCTTAAAACATTTCAAAGAAGCCGAGCGAAGCTTCACTTATCAATGAACTAAGCATAAGCCATAAATGCTATTTTTAAACTTAAAATAAGAATATTCTGAAACGGTTCTTTGATTAAATTGATATTCAAAATTTAATGCTTCCTACATTAAATTCATAACCGATGGCGACAATATCAATCTATACAATTTCATTTAATTGCTTCTAGCAATGTGGTTTACTTCATGTGGGTCTATGAGTGGTTAGTAGAGATGTTTTTTCTAGAGAAACTAAGCTTTAACCGCTTTAATTGACAAAGATTTAGAAAATTGCGAAAACCTTGGTTTTTTGCCAAATTCTGTGGTTTTGAGTGGAGAAATTAAGATTTGTGCATTCCATTTTCTTCATTTATCAAACTTTGTCAAGTTCTCAAAAATACTTTCGCGAAAAGCACAAGTCGGTTAATCGAATAGAAATCCGGCACAAAGCTGGAATAACTCTGGCATGATACTGACTTCGTTTTAAATCTAGCGCAATGCTTAAGGGTGTGGAACTGATAAATTAGAATTTGATCATTTTTGATCATTCTTTGATCATTTCGATCAGTTCCGAACTCTTGACAATGCCAGAGTCAAACCAGTTTGGTGCCGAATTTCTGATCGATTAATCGACTTGTGCCTTTCGGGTTTGTTTAAATCTAGCCATGAAATGCTCTCCAAATCATAAAAAATCATTCATACTTGATAAGCATAAACATTAAAAGTTTCCGATAAACTAATAAATAAACCTTATTTATTTCTGCCATCGCTTCTAATGGTGTTTAATAGAAACAACAAAAAAGAAATGACAAATGACGCTAGAAGGAAATTCGAGGAAGAAGTGACAATTCAATTTATCACAACAGTTGGAGCATTTCATGGTCGATAAAGTTGCTACATTAAGTGTGAAAATAGTTTAAACTAATTACGAGAAGAAGGAAAAATTTAATCATAATAAGGAAAATTTCACGGTCCTTAAATGTGATCTTTATCCTTTTGTTGTCCGTAATGCGGGTGAAAGATAAAAAAAATGTTTTTCAACAAAATTACTTACCCATTTTGTTAAAAAAGAGAGAAATGATTCATAATGATCCTTTTTCGGTTGGATTACATTCACTTTTTGGAGCTAAAGAGTTTGTTGCTTTTCAGACGAAGGAAGAAATAAAAAGATGATTTCTTTCTTCGTCTCATTAAGATTTATTGTATTAAACATTTTACCGCATTTTTTTCTGGCTTTAAATTCAATCCTTTATGCTTAATCTCTCATTACTAACAGCCTCAAGTGAATTTCAACGTCCTTTTTTTTATAAAGCAACAAATGCAAAGAGTTTATTTTGAAATAAATACTCTAAAGGATGTTTTGGGACTATTTGTTTAAATTTTCGACTTAATTATGGTAGAAATGTTTCAGCCATGGTTTCACTTTTTTAAAATGTACATTCATGAATTTTTTGTGCTTTTTTTAATTAACCCATCATTTTGCTGTCTCATTCATTATTAATTTAAAAATTAATTACATGAAATGATTGAGATGAATTTTTTTTTGCGGAAGTGCTTTTTTTTCATAAAATTAAACTTTATTTTCATTCAATGTTGATTTGTATAATGGAATTTTAAATGTTTTTTGAGGATTATTTGCTTAAATTCTTTGTGAGATTTTCTTTTACAAGCAAAACTTGTCAATTTTTAAATTTCAATTAATTAAATCAAACCTTTTTTTGGGAGCTATAATGCTATAATGGAATGGGAAATACAGTAAAAGGTTAATGCTATTGACATGTGCCGCATTTTATAAAAACCAGGACATTCAGCTTTATCAACACAAAATTTCAAGTACCTTAAATATTTCGAACCTTTTCAAATTGTCTTTAACTTACTCTCTCATAAATTTCAAGTCACAATTGTGAAAAGTCACTTCCTTGAAATTTCATATTCCCTTTTCAATATTAAGCTCAGGATCAGTATTGAATTACTGATATTTATGATAACTTGTAGAAGAAAAAGGTCAATCCTTTTTGAACCAAAATCATTGTTAACAAAAAAATCCAGTAAATAAAACAAATTCTAAGCTTGTAATAGAGATTTTTGAATCAATCTAAATATAACATGAGATTTAAATTGAGATTTTTGGTTCAAAAACAAAGATTTGTTTGATTTACTCATTTTCAATCAACTTTACAATAATAGTGCATTTTATTAAATCTTATTGAATTTTTTAATGTCTCCCAAAGTCAACTCTAAGAAAGAAAAAATTCAAAGTTTTTCTTTTTGGGGTTAGAATAGCTTCAAAATGACCACTTTATATAACAAAATAATAAATAGAATTGAAAAGGAAAGAAAAGGGATCGGAAAGACAATAAATTTACAGGCAAGAATGTTGTTATAAAAATATCTTTTCAATAGTGTCTATGTAATCTATTCATTAGGATGTCCATCTATTTAGATTTCTGTGAGATATTTTTGCATAGCAGATCAAGGATGCAGAACTGATAAATTACATTTTGATCATTTTTGATCATTTCATTAGTACCACACCCTTTGACAGAATTAGACTTAGAAACGAATTTTTAATGGTTAGTTTGATATCAAGGGCGTTGAACTGATCAAAATGATCAAGATTCGATTTATTGGTTGCACATTTTTGTTTGATACCTCATCAGTTGTGGGAATGTCGTGAGCATTATGCAAATCTTTGTCATGTCGACAACATTCTATATAATGATTGAGAGATCGCTCTCTCTAGTGAGAATCGAACACACCATCTTCATAAAAGAAGGTCACATATCTGTTGCATAATCACTCGCCCACAGATGCCTTAATCTTGGACTAGCTGAATTGTCTATATATAATTTCATGCTATCAGATTCAACTTTTCTTTGACGCCACAGAATACACTCAAAATATGAACAAATGATGTTGATTAAGGAGTCAAAATTTGATTCAAACAAGAAATAATTTAATCCTGCATCTCGCCTGTGTGAAGTACTCCGGTCCAAGTTCGAATTTCGAGCTGAACTTTGGCATGTTTATCTAAACTTTTGCGACAATTTTCGACATCTATTTAGTTTTTCGAGATAAGCTCGAAGTTCTGGCTTTGTACAATTAAGAGGACGTAACTTAATAGAATTGCATAGAAAGATAGTAGATTTTATTTCCAATTTATCTAAACATTCTGAAAACATTCTCTGGACATCCTAACCACATGAAAATAAAAATTGATTGATTCTTTCGGCAACTCGTCCCTTTTTTCTTCCAAAAATACATTCACAAAGATATAAAAATGAAACCTTTAGAAAACAATAACTTGTCCTAAAAGCATGTCTTTGCTATTTATATTAGACTAGATATAACTCCTAGGCTTAGTACGAAAATATCATTTTTCTGAGATTGAAGTATAATAAATATCAGAAAATTGTTGCCTGAATGCATTACAAGTTCAGTGAATGATAATTATTATGGCATAACTGAGTATAAATGTTTTTAATTAAACGGAATTATATTGAATGTTTTCTGCCCGTAGACAATGGAAAACGGAGAAGATAATTCGAGATTATGTGAAGTGGAATGAAAAAAATATTCAACATTTAAAAAATAAATACAGAAATTGAATTCCGGAATTTAATTATTAAAAAAATTTATTAATGTTCGTGGAAAAAATGTGAAAGTGCACTTTTTGAGGCAGGGACACTTGAGGGCTATGTTTGAATTTAATATTCATAAAACTCTTTCAAATTGTATTGATAGGGGGCCGTTCACTTATTACGTCCAAGGGGGGGGGGGGGGGGGTTAGCAAGAAAAGAACAATAGAAATTCCTGGAAATCCATTGTTCTCTTTTGAAGAATGACCGTTAATTTCAGACGTCATAAGTGAACGATCCCTAGGCAATATTGCCACGTAAATTGTATGTAGTTGCTGTCAAGTCTGTCGCATCAAGGACGACGCTATAGAAAGAAGTTTTGCATTTTTAAAAGATCTAGGTTCGATTCCCATCAGAGAATTAAATTAGAATCTTTAAATTGAATGTTTGTGGGAATTAAATTAAATAAGCTTCATCCATAAAAAGATAAAATCTTGTAAACAATTAAAACACAATTCAGACAAATCCCAAGTGTCCCAACCTCAAAAAAAGGAATAAAACAAATTAATACGAATGAAATGATATATTTTTCAGTGAACCACAATGCAAACAGTTTCAAGAGATTCCTCATTAATATTTAATTAAGTGTAATGACTACAAAGCAAACTTTTATTCTGTACACCAGAGAATAAATTCAAGAGAAAAAGTTGTAAAACTCCAATTAAAGATCAGTGTCAAAAAATAAGAAAAAATTTAAAACTTTGTGCAAAAATTAAAATTTTTTCACTCAAACACGAGAAAATAAAAGGAAAATCCTTCCGCCTTCAGACATTCCATCATTCAGAGAGACTAGCTGTTTACTCTCTAAATAAAGCCTACGTGAACGAACACCAATCATTGCATAAATTTCAATTAACATTATTTCAATAAAATTCAAAAAAAAAATATGTTAATTGTGGGTGTATGAATCAACTTCTCATTAAAAACATGATTACATCTAATTGACTCATTTATGATGCTATGCTGAAATCGGAGCTGTTGTGAAAAAAAAAACTTTTTCGTATCAAAAAGAAGACAAAATGTTAAAAATAATTGAATAATAAAAAAAAACATAATCTGATTAATTTAACAATTTTCTCGGAGGACTTAACCAATGGTGAATATGTTAAGCAAAGAGATATAAAACAATTACACATCCATTCATCATCAGATAGATTTATAAAGCCATAAATAGAAGAATACCTAAAAAAAAGGATGAACATGTGAGGAGGAATATGAGATAGATGAGAAAGAGAAAAGTTTTAACATCAGCACAAAGAAGCAACTCAAACAGACACATAATCTATCACGTCCTCTCCGTGTATCAACGATGAATATAAATGTTGCGGAACCTTATTGGGATTATTTGCAATTTATAAACGCAAGTTTAACACTTTATAACTTAAACAATAATCATCATAACAATAATAACAATAATAATAATTTAAATAATAATAATAATAATAACAACAACAACAATAACAATAATAACAATAATAATTTAAATGGTAAAAATGGCAACAACATCACAGATGAACTGCTACCTGTGCTGATATTTAATAATTCAAATTTATATTTTAACTCAAATTGTTGCCAAACGACATCAATCGCAACAACAACAGCGGACCCAAATTTCACACAGTACCTGCAAGAACTTCCTAGTGATCGCGTTAGCTTATTAGCATTTCTATTTCTATTTTCATTCGCAACAGTTTTTGGAAATTCTCTTGTGATATTAGCTGTTATACGCGAGAGATATTTGCATACGTCAACAAATTATTTCGTAACGAGCTTAGCTGTGGCTGATTGTCTTGTTGGATTAGTTGTAATGCCTTTTTCAGCCCTTTATGAGGTGCTACAAAATACATGGTTCTTTGGTGAAAATTGGTGCGACATATGGAGATCACTTGACGTCCTCTTTTCGACAGCTTCAATACTTAATTTATGTGTGATATCATTAGATCGATATTGGGCAATTACAGATCCATTTTCATATCCAATGAAGATGACAAGAAATCGAGCGATGGTTCTTATAGCAGCTGTGTGGATTTGCTCAAGTCTAATTAGCTTTCCTGCAATATATTGGTGGCGTGCAGCTCGGAGTGGTCCTATGCCAGCTTTCAAATGCAATTTTACCGAACATTTAGGATATTTAGTCTTCTCATCAACAATCTCATTCTATTTACCATTGCTTGTAATGGTATTTACGTACTGTAGAATATATCGTGCTGCAGTCATTCAAACGAGATCTCTGAAATTGGGTACGAAGCAAGTACTCATGGCATCTGGTGAAACGCAATTAACATTAAGAATTCATCGTGGCGGAACGACCCGTGAACGTGAATCATCTCATCATCATCAATTGCAACATCAACATCAACATCAAAATACAACGGCAAACTCAACGCCAGAGGAGCCTGATGAAGAGCCACTATCTGCCTTACACAACAACGGTATTCGACGTGATAGACATATTGTAAAGAATTTTTCTCTCTCGCGAAAATTGGCGAAATTTGCGAAGGAGAAAAAGGCAGCAAAAACATTAGGAATTGTTATGGGTAAATATAATGTTTTATGTCTGGTTATTAGGATGAAATGATTGTGGTAAATTGAATAACTTGAATGTTCAAGGTTGTATCTGATTGTGAACTTTTATTGATTAATTTAACAGATTTTTCAAATTTGAATTTTGTTGCCATTTATGGTGTTTGAAAAATATTAATTAATGGCCTAATCAATCATTTTCAAAACGTGAATTAATTATTATTACGTTGCGGAACGACATCAATAACCTTCCACGTTCCATTCATTATATTTATAGATCAAGTTTCTCGGAAATCAACCCTACAATTCGTCACGTTGTCCGTAAACAACCAAAATTGACTTTCAAATGGCTTTAAATTTTTGAAATACCGCAAAATGTCAAAAGCTCGAAAATAAATCGATCCTTAATATCATTCACAGAATCCCACAATTCGACCCAAACCAATCAATTTCATTCATAATATTTATGATTTGATAGAATTTTGCGCATTTAAGGTGAAATTTTTATAAATTCGCATTAATTAATTATAAAAAAATCAATAGTCGACATTTTTATCAGGCACGTGTTAAACTTCTTGGATTGATTGTGTGACGAAATGGAAAGCTTGTGATTAGAGAGAGTTTTAAATATTCATGAATAAAATAAACATTATTTGTTATGAGAACTTTCTCTTTATTAAAGCACCAAATTACGTGCGAAATTCACACCGAAAAATACAGAAACAAATTTATTTATTTGATCCGTGACTCGAACTGTTCTGGCTTCAATAATCTTAATAAAAAAATATTCTGAAATAATTTTCGAAAACAACAAAAAACTTGCATGAATACACAATGACCCATGAAAATTGCTTCTGGTTTCTCTTTTTCAATTGCTTGAATGAATAAATTTTTGGATTAGAAGATTATAATAGTAAACGTTTCAGAAGGCTCTGTTTGAAAAAGCTTAAATTCTAAGAAGCTTTTGGCATTTTGACAGAATCAAAACTTTTAATTTTCAAATTTCAATTTTTAAAATTTTTTAACGGTTTTCAAAATTTCAAAGCTTTTTAACTTACTAAAATTAAAATTTCAGAATTTTAAAAATTCAAAACTTTTAAACGTTAATTCAGAAATTTAAATTTTTTTAAAACTTAGAATTTTAAGTTTTTTTTTTTAAAATTCAGAATTTTAATTTTTTTCAAATTCAGAATTTTATTTTATTTTTTAAATTCAAAATTTTAAATTTTAAAAGAATCCAAAATATTAAACTTTTTAAAATTTTAAACTTTTCAAATTTTAAAACTTTAAACGTTTTATTTTTCAAAATTTTGAACTTTTAAATTAATAAGATTAAAATTTTAAGCCTTTTATAAATTAAATTAAATCTCAATCTGATTAAACAACAAAACCAGTCTGTCAACATGTCAATCAAACATAAAATTTTCCCAACAGTTTAGACGAAGTGGATTTAAGCATTCTAATTCGAATATAAAAGAATTTGCAAGCATCTGTATAAAGTTTATCATAAGCTGGAAACACATTTGTAGACTTTTAAAATACAAACAGAACTGAACCACAAAATCTGTATTCATTTCGCATATCTTGCGGTGCTTCATAACTATTTAGAAATTCTTTTAACATTGCCAACAAAGAACAAAATTATAATTTCCCACTTGAAACTATTCTCCAACTCTCTGTCCATTGTTATGAGCTTTTTTCGTTTTCATTTCCTTTTGGATTGTTGTACTTTGATTATAAAAATTCTTTGAAAAGGAATTTGGCAGAAATTCAAGATTTTTTATTGCAAAAATAACATGGGCAAGCAGAACTAATTTAATAATAGAATAAAATTGAATCAGCTATGGTTAAAATAATAATTTTAACTTGAGAGCTTCGGGAAAAAAATCTCGTTAAGTTAGTTCTTCAAACTTTTTAATTTAAAATTGTATCTGCATCAACATCCAATAAGAAATGCAGAAAAGCAATTATATTAAGATAATAAAGAAAAGTCTTTCAATTTCATTAATGATTGATTTGCGGAAATATTCTTCATTCATTCATTCTTGTTTCATTTGATGAATGGATAGTGATGGAGCGCTTCTTTTGTTTATGCTTTCAAAAATATTATTCAGTGGATAAAAAATGATTCAGCGAAATTTTTTTATGAGTTTTTTTTTGAAGGAATTTAAGAAAATTTGATAGATTTATGAGGTGTTGTGAAGTTTTTATGAAGCAGAGCTGTTTTCTTTTAAAGTTTATGGACTAGCATTTGATTTAAAACTTGAAAGAAGTTTAAGTTTAAATATTAATGATTTAACTTGATTCGAAAGAATGTTAAAATAACAAAATTTAATAAAATTAGAAATTAATGCTGAAATTCAAAGTTAAAAGATTCAAAATTGTTTCAAATTCTGTTAAAAAATCATCCAACGCATGAAGCAAGTCTTTTAACCATGAAAATCATTTACCCAACGAAGTCAACGACAATTTATATTTAATTCATTTTTCTTCCACACGAAGCTTTCTCATCGTCACTTTAACAATCACAAAGGATCAGATTGTAACCCTCAAATTCTTTTACAACTAGCTTTTGAACCTTCGAAGAAGATGTTGGCATCTTAAACTAGCATTAAAGAATTTTGGGAATGACTCAATCTTTGAATATTTTTCAACATGAAATCCTTTCTTTAAAACAAAAGAGGAGAAATCTTCGATTGTCACATAGAGATTTAAAGTTCATAAACTTTGTGAGACTTTAAGTTTCTCATTCTTTATTATTCAGACATGTTCACTTTCATTTTCTTTTTCAATAACCTTGAATATTCAATTTCCTTATTCAAAAAATATAGTAAAAATCCAATTTTACACATGAAAAATTTTAATACGTCTTCTTTCATTCCTTTTTATATGAATTTACTGCTTAATCGAATGAAAATGATGCGATAATGACAACGATGACACAAATAAATAAATTTTTTGAAACATCACATTACTCAGGGGTCTTTATAATGTAAGTTTGCTTTTATATTGCTTTTTAAGTGGCAGAGATGGTGTGCTGTAGGATTAATTGACGGATCTTTGGTTTAATTTTTGATTTTGAGTAGAAACTCTGCAAGTCATTGTTTCAAATGATATTAAAATTAATTGATTTTGGATTAGACAGACTAGGTCTCGTATTAACCTTTAAATAGGAAATCCTGAAGTTTTGTTGAGATTTGGGCTGTGCAAGTGCGCACTTTAGAGCGGGACAGTCTCGCTTTAATGAAAAAGTCCCGCCTATAATCCCAAATGTGCCGCTTTTTAACCTATTTTTATTGGAAAATGCTTGAAAATTTGGTCTGTACCGCTTTTTCAAAGCTGAAATCGGGGCATTTCCCGCTTTTTTGACCAAAAATCTGCAAAAACCGATGAACAGCTTATTCAGAAATATTTCTAAAATTGATTTATTTTAAAAAACATTGTACAATAAAACCCATAAGAAAATTTTGGCTGGAAAAATTCAAAACATTCAGCATTGCAAAAATAATCAAAATTTAAATTAATCAATCTTGAGCTAGATACAAATCTAGTTAAAATTGAATTTTTAAATAATCTTAACATTAAATCTTCATAATGAAAAATAGAAGTATATAATTCAACATCACACCAGCTCTGCTAAAAGACAATTTATCTTAAATGAAGATAAAATAATGTAAAGAACCAAAAAAGGAAATGTATATAGACACATATCCATTTGCATAAGTTACTGAAAAAAATCATTTTTCTTATCCAAAAATCTTCTTCTTTCACTTACAATTTTATTTTTTTATTCGACACAGTTGCTGGCTTCCGTTTTTTGTTGTAAATTTGCTCACCGGCCTTTGCGTAGACTGTATAGCGCACGAGGAGATTGTGAGCGCTGTAGTTACATGGTTAGGTAATTCTTGACAAAGAGCAATTTTCTCTTTCTCTTTTTAGTGATAAGCTGAAATTGTCCATTTGGGAAATTCTTTTTCATTTCAATTTTCTCATTTTTCTTCTTTTTATTTCAACTTTATTGTTGTATTACGGTTAGGATGGATAAATTCAAGTATGAATCCTGTTATCTATGCATGTTGGAGTCGAGATTTCAGAAGGTAAGTACAAATATTGGACTCTTGATACTTTTCCAATAAAACATTCTAGCTTTGAATACAGACATGAGCAATTCAGCATGTGGATAACACTCAACAGCTTGCAATCGTCCAACTTTGAACATTTCATTTCTGTATCCCAATAAATTTGATTGATTTCATTTTTGCAACAAAAATCATCTCTCGACCATTTCATAATTTGTTGAGATTTACTCATGCCAGTCCATTACTGAATCCATCAATTTTACTTCTTTGTATTATTTTACATTACCATTTTTACCATCCATTATTATTCATTGATCATAAACTCCATTTTTACTGCAGTTTTCAGTAAATAAATATGGTGATTTCTCAGTTTGGTCATAAATTTTTTTACTATGCTTTCTTTCCTTTTTGTTGAGTCATTTATGGAATGATGAAAGTTCTATTAAGAAAGTAAATATTTTTGTTGAATTTTACGGATATTTGGGAATCGAGGGAGCGTTTTTTGGGGTGTTGTTGCTTACAAAGTTGATTGTTGAGTATGCTTAAAGTGTTTTAATGAATTCTACAGGAGATGGCCGTTAATGCCAATGACCAATTTTAAGGAGGGATTGAAGAGAATTTGGAGGGATGGGGGGAGGGGGCGATTTTTTGAACGGACTGAGTAGTAAGAAGGCCTTTTACGATTTTTTTCGTCCAAAAACTCTAGCAAATTGAAGAAATTTTTCATTTATGACTCCCCTCCCCTTACTACGTTCCTAGTGGTCTGCACTTTGAGACATAGTTAAAGTTTCTTTTTAATAAAAAGAGATAATAGAAATTTAGGAGTTGTAAATGAACATTGACTGACTAGGAATGGGCCTCAGATTTTCCTATAACCGATTCCCTGGAATATGTATATTCGAATTGTGTGGCCAAAACGTAAAAGAACTATTGACCGGAAAGAACCAAAATTAAAAGCGCGACTCCCAAAACCTATCGCTGCCCTCACAACTTCCATAAACAATAAATGACCTCTCATTATATGCATTTAGGAAATTTTCGAACAACATAATCTATAAAACCATTATTCATTTTTAGTTATTTTAACAATAGAAAAAGCCTGTCATGTAAATAAGGGCGAATTATTTTTGATTAATTGTTGTAATTTTGATAACAAATATGAAGCTTATTGGTCATTTTTTTTTGCCATAAATCGGAATCAAAAATTTATTCTACATTATTAATATTAATTTGGGAGAGTTTATTAAAATATCGATAGGAAAAAGGAAACATGCTAGTCATTTTAATTAATAGAGTAGAAGTTATTTTTTAGAGAACCAAAAACATTTTAACCCTTTTAAGTTATTTACACTAAATCCCTGGTCAATGCTATAAATATTCATCAAAAGGAAATATTCTCTATAATTTATTTTGCCTTTTAAGATCCTTTGAACTTGTTCGTTTAATGTACATTTCATGTCAAACTTAAAATATTGAATTTTCATACAGGAATCATTATGTAGAAATTGTTTTTGGTCTTTGAAAATTGAAATTTCATGATTTTCAATTTAAATTAAGTTTTATTCAATTTTTAATCATTTTGCGTTCAGAAAATTAAAAGCTACTTTATTTTCCCGTTAAATTTAAAATGTGGATTTCTAAACACGTGATGAGTACATTCAGAAATTTAAATATTTTTCATCAGTTTTAAAATGTAATTAACCGTTAATTATCAATAAGTTTAATTTCTTGAAATCTTTATTTGTAAACACAATTAAGGTCACAAAAATCTTTTGTTCTCCAAACTTTAAACCACAGAGAATAAAAGAAATTCCACAAAATTGACTTTAACATGAAATGTAATTTTCTCAAATGACACCCCTTTGAGAAATTCCTTCCCGGAAATGAACAACAAAAGCTATAGCAGATTTGTAAGAACTATGTTGTTTGTAGATTTAATTTTACGTTTTTTGTAATAATTTATTGGATAAAATTTTTTTTCTCGCAAAGCTTTACTTTATGAAATTGCTGTGCTACATATTTTTCCCTCTTTTTGACTGTTCCGACAGTTCATAAAAAATTTGTGGTTTGTTTTTAAAATAACGGAACTAAGTATGCTGAAAATGTCTGTATTCAGAAGCAACACAGAGCGTTTTGAATGAGCTGCTTAGTAGAATGAAAAAAGTACACGATTTATTTATATACTTTATCCCGTTCCTCATTCTCCCCAACAGAGCATTTGTTCGGATATTGTGTGTATGTTGTCCTAGGAAAATTCGAAGGAAATATCAACCAACAATGAGATCAAAGGCTTCCCAGGTATGACAGATTCATTAAACATTTTATTTTACTGCTTATTTTTTGCATAGTCATTGTCATTCAACTTAAAGTTTCCTAAATTCAGCAGTGAATTTTTTAAAAATCTAACCAGAACTTTTTTTGCTTTAATTTTTGATGATTAAACGAGAAATAAATTATCTTAAAGTTGTGCATGATAACTTTAAACAAAAAAAAATCTTCTGCTTTGAAACTATTCAATGTGAAAAAATAAAACGGAAAGAATCATTTCTTTTCAGCCAGCCAGCACAATAAGGAGGATGAAAAAAAATTAATTTGAAAACTTTTTCAATATATTTCATCTTCTTTGTTGGATACAAAATCAGGGATAAAAACGATTCGAAAGCATATTTTGATTTTTTTTTTGACTGAAATGGAATAATAGCGAAAGCAGTTGAAGGTCTGAATGGGATTAAAGTTGAAAATTCTTCATGATGTTCTTAAGCTGTGATGAATTTATGTTTTAGTGACTAGGCGAAGGGACCGTCTTTACACTCAATTTCTGTTTACGATTGCTATTTCCAAATTGTGATCACAGCGTTCAGTAACTTGTCATTTAGCCAAATACTAAGATTTATCTTGCTTTTTTTATCAGTGATTGACAAAATTTAATTGTAGATCATTTTAAGTACCTAAATTCTGTTTTATCAATTTGATGATTTTGTAAATAAAAAACAGCACTGGCGTAATGTTCAGAGTCTCGTCCAACCAAACTAACGACCCATGTTCGATCCCAGGGAATGTCTATTCTGATTTTGGGTGCTTTTTCGCTTTTCTAGTCATTGCAACTCGGTTTGAGCGATTCGCGGAATGTAACTTGCAGCTAGGTACTTTGCATTGATATATCCTGGGCCATGCAACTTAAATCATGATTAAAACTAATACTTAAAGGTACAGAATGCAGAAGCTGAATATAAAAAAATGTAATTGGCATAAAAAGTCAAAAAATTGGCAAAATAAGCCAAACATTTGATTTTCCTACACAAAATGTTAATTTCCTCAAAAAAAGCATTCAATGGATCTAAAGAATTGATTCAATCCGCTTTAAATTTCCACAAAACAGTTTCAAAAGTGCAGAAAAAAGGAGTTTATAAAACTTTTTAATGCTGACAAAAGTGAATGAAAAATTATTTTTGCTTTTAGAGAAATGAAAAGTTCCTTTTTATTGTAGTTTCCATAAGTTTCATTGCAAGAATTTTGTCCGCATCATAAACTATTTATTTTTCTTTAAATAACATTTTATATTTATATTACCTAAAGTACTCTTAAGGATCATAGGCAAGTCAGCTTTGAAAATACACTTATACCTGCACTTACAAAAAGTATCTTAACATAATCTGAGTAAATTATTTTTAGACAAAGTGGGCTTTATAGCTCGCCTTGAGTCGAGTTTTATGCAGTTTTAATTGGATGTAAAAAAGGAAAATTTTAATTTGATGACTTCTCAAGGATTAAAAACACTTAAGAAGGAACTGAGAAATTGTTATTAAATGATCTTAAAATTCTCATCGTCTGGCTTTGTTTGCCTTGCAATTACTTTAATTGGAAATGAGAAAATGAAAACAGGAAGTGAATAATAATGCTGTTGCCAATTTAAATTATTGCAAACTTTTATTAGCTGATAAAGCGCATATAGTGCCAAAAGTTTATGAATTCGAAATTGTTTCACTTAACAGGAAAATTGCTGATTGTGGAAAGAAATCATTGCCATGATATTGAAATTCAACGATGAAGAAATTTCAAGACTATTTTAAAGAACTATCAGAGTTGCGAAACAGGTCGCTTGTCACAGGTACAGTTGACAGATCTGTCACAGATATTGCTTGAGACAGGCAATATTTTTTTTTTCGGGTCAAATCTGATCACAGATATAACAGATCAGTGACAGGTAATTGCCTGTGACAGATCGCAACTCTGAGCTAAAGTTTGAATTTCATAAGGGGTCGTTAACTTATGACGTCCAAAATTAACGGTCATTTTTCAAAAAGAACGATGGATTTTCAGGAATTTCTTTTGTTCTTTTCTTGCTGACCCCCCCTGATATACGTCATATGTGAACGGCCCCTAAATTGTTTACACCTTACAACAGTGGTAGACAACCTTTTTTGTACCATGGAACATAGTTCTTGGGATTTCTATGATTTTTTCCAAGCACATTGGTTAGCCATTAATGCCTTACTAAAGTAAGTGACCAAGAATCAACTTTAATGTGCTTAATTTTTGATGCAGCTCCTCTTCAAATGTTTCTGACACTCCAATAGCCTACATTCTTTATTCAAGAAAGAGAAGTGGGCAGCACAAGTTTTCCAATATTAAAGTTTGATGCTATGGACGATTACAATTAGACAGACACTCGACAAAATTGTCTGCAGCATCTTCCTACACAAAAATTTCTCCATTGAATCATTTTAAGCTCTATTAAAGTTCCTTGAATACAAAAAATTTAAAGATTTTTCCTCATACAAAAAAATGAAAAGAACGCATACAAAGCTGGCATGCCTTTCAATGTTATGATAGCTTTATTACGGAATCTTGAAAAAAAGTTTTGAATTTCTTTATTTTTTTTATCGCACCATTCAAACGATTCTTTTTATACATTCTCGAGTAGAAAATTTTCATTATCCATTTTTTTATTTTTATGTTTATGATTTTATTTGTAACAGTTAATTTCGTTATTGTTCATTAAGTAAAAGAATATTTATGCTTATTACGTTGTTTATTACAGAGATTCGCGTCAAGGCGTTGCTATTCTACATGTTCATTACACGGCATTCAACATATTCGACATAACTCATGTGAACAGTCTTATATTTAGTTCCTTTATACAGACATATGTTTGCATATAGATTTAAAATACCGTTATCGAGATATAAAAAGAAACTTTTTACTACTCACTGACTGAATATTTATTTAAGTTACAACAAAAAATAATAAAAAAAAATCATCATAATCATCATCATCATCCACAATATTCTCTGTTGACTTTTTAAATCTATAACATTTTGTTTTTTGATGTAAACATAATTAAATGAGAACAAACAGAATATTTTATATAAAATCATCTCCACTCTCACTACCTCCCCGACAAAAAAAAAAATAATATTTATTTACAAACAAGACAAAACATTAAATTTAACGTTGATTCAAAAGGTATGTTATCAGGAAGTGTTTTCGTTTCAAATTCTCCCACTTTTAATTCTGTCCTTCTCATCCTCCACCACTCTCACAACATGATATTACTAATTGCACTTTCTTCACACTTAATTACTCACTTACTTCTGTGAGCACATACCTTGATTCTTCTTCCTCTATAAACATTTTTTAATTCTGTATTATTTTATATTTTATCACTCTTGTGCTCATTTCTCATAGACATTTAATCATTTTGATAAATATTTTCATTACTCTTGATGTTAGAGATTGACAAAATTATATCAACGCTTTCTAGTGTTGCTCAGGTTACATCCTTTCTGTAAATATGGATTAGAACACTTTGAATTATTGACTTACTGTGAAATTTGAAGATAGTTTATGAATGAATTTGAGAAATCTTACTTTTAAAAAGTTTTTAGATATTTACAGGGGTGTAGCTAGCGAGAGCTCTCGACCACACCCCTACAAAGGTCTTTTACTATTTCATGCTAATCTTTGTCTAGAAGCTAGACATGCCAAGCCTTAATTCGACTTGATTTGGTCAGATTTGACTCAAAAAGAGTCTACTCATTTCTGTTGTATTTAGTTGTAAAGTAAGGCAAGACATCCGGAGCTATTGAAACATCTAGAAGGAAAGCCACAAAATTTCTAGATGTCAAATTCAAAGATAAAAGAATAACTTCGAATAATGAATCCTGAGCGGGATTCAAACCCGACTCGTACAATTTTCTAATCGCATGCTCTTACCTCTGAGCTATCGGGGGTTAGTCGACTTTACGACTAAATCCCATATATAGATTTATACTCTTTTCTGCTCCCTAGAACTAATATGGTTTATCGTTGGCTGGCTATTACATCACTATATCCAAACATGAGCTTTGGCACCACGAAACAGAGACCGAAAACCCCATACCAAAAATTCTACTCCTTTCTTGGCTGTAGCGCACGTTAGCTAATTGCCGCGTTCAGAGAACGTCTAAAGACAGCTCTATCCTTGAAAAATTCAACCAGTTTGTGATATTAGGGACTCTAGCTTCCTTATCAACAAAAATAATTAAAGTCAATTGGAGTTGATTTCAAAAGCAGAAGCAAAAGTAGAGTCTACAAAAGAACGCATAGGCAAAGGCAATGATTAAGACTAAGCATGCGTTTAGCAAAATGATAAATTTGTTGTTTTAACATAATCAATGCCTGTGGTAGCTCAGTATCTTAAATGGCAATTCAGTCAAAAGCATAAATTTTTCAGATCCTGTTTATACTTCAAAATAAGTCTAGATTTATTCAAAAATCAGTTGATACCATTTTCAGGAATTGAATTTAATGATGCTTATTTTTATGCTAAATTATCTGTATAATTCAGCATGTGCTCATGAAAAATTCAATTAAATAAATAAAATTCTTCAAAATTCTGAGAACTTTAAAATCAATTTGAAGCACATGAAATAAAGCTGAGACGATTTTCGAGAGTTCTAAGAGTCTTAAAAATAAACAAATTTTGTAGTCAATTGAATTTCATTTTGAAGATTTGAGTTGAATTTAAGTAGCTGTAAATATTTTCATCACAAGATTGGTTTTATTGAAGGAAACGATAAAGAAATGCGACAGACTCAAATGATTTCGTGCAACCTTCAGAATTTCCATTTCATGGTCAAAATTTAATCATCTCATATTTTTTTTGACTATTCCATAAAAAAAAAGTATTTATTTCTTATAAAAACAAACGTCAATCTCAAAGTTCTACGTGATTCTCATCTTGTTGTTCCATTTCCCCAGCACTTTACGGTCTAATACTCTGTCTCTCTTCCTTACTCGCACTTTTTATTCTCCTTTCTTTGTTTAACATCATTTGTCAATTTCAAGAAAATTTTCTTCATGTTTTCACGTTACACAAGATTTCGTTCGTTTCTCTGAGTTTTAAATGAGACATGAAAATAAAGCCTTGTACATTACATCGTCACATTTATTATATTCAGGAGAGATATCGCTTACAACTTTATCACTATTTTTTGAAATTTTAATGAACTGTACAAAACACTCGATACATATTTATGTGAAAAGCAATGTCGAAAGTTTCTTTTGGTTGAAGTTAGCTAGAAATTTTGTGAATTGGATAAGAACATAAATTTAAATTTTTATTAAGAATTTCTTAGTATTTGATTTGTATTTTCAAAAAACTGTTAAAAGTTTTAAAATCTTAAAAATTTGTCAAAATACTGGATTCAGTTTTGTAAAAGCTGTTTGAAAATTTTGAATTCTTTTGAATTTTTTTAAACTATAAATTTATTTATAAATTTTTGATGTTTTTTTGAAATTTTTTGAACTTTTTTAAAGATTCAGTTTTTTTGGAACTTTTAATTTTTTTTTGAAAATTTTGATTTTTTAAACTTGATTTTCTTTTGAAAATTTAAAATTTGCTCTAAAATTTTAAATTATCGAACATTTTTGATTTTTTTTGAAATCTTTGAACTTTTATGAACATTTTTAATTATTTGAAACTTGATTTATTTTAATAATTTTGATTTTGTATTTTCAAAATTTTAATGTTATTTTGAAAATTTTTAACTTTTTTGAAAGATTTGATTTTTTAATAGATCAATTTTTTGAAATATTTAAAAATTTCAAGTAAATACACGAATTTAATTTGAATTATTTAAATCTTTAAAATTAAAAATCTTATTCTTTCAGTAAAATACAAGTAAATTTTAAAAATGCTAAGATAAGTTTGTATATTTTATTTACTAGTTTGCCCGAAAAGCTTTCAAAATTCAAGCCAACTTTATCCAAACAAACAAACTCAAACACTTAAAACGCTAAAACACTTGAATAAAATATTTCCATTCCAATAAATACTGCATGTTTGCAAAAATATTTAATATATGTTGTATGAAAACCATTTTATATTCTTCATTGCATAAAGTTTATTTTTGTGTATGCTGTTCACTGTTCAACCTAAATAATTGTATTTGCTTACAGCACAAAAAAATTTATATTAATCCTCTTTCGTTATACATATTGATGATGCTTTATATGTAAATATTTGTAAATGATTCATAATTTTTGTGCTTTTTTTTATTTGTTTCTTTACGTCCTTCTAGGAATGAAGGATGTTTGGTATATTAGAGATTTTTTTTATTGCTACAGAAGGTTTTTTTTTAGTTCAAAATGTCAAAGGAATTTGAAAGGGAAATATTAATGATGAGCAGGGTTGGAGAAATTGTGGAATCAAAACATTTATTAAAAATCACGCTGAAACCTTGGAATCTTGAGGAATTTTAGTCTTTAACTGAATAACCATCGAATCGCTTCAGATAATTAAGTATTTGCTTAACCTTGGTTCCTAGTCACACTCTTTTACTGAGTGTAATGTCGTGAGCATTGTCCGAATTCTTGTTTTATCAACAACACTCTTTGTAACGGTTTGAGAGATCATTCTCTGTTGGGAATCAAACCACTGCTCTCACAAAAGAGAGTCTGTTGTTGAACCATTCGGCAACTGAGCCCTTATTTTCACAGTGGCTGAATTGCCTACATACAGTACGATATTTCAGATTCAACTCTGCTCTGATAGTTCACTAATAATTTGTAAAAATTCATTAGAAATCAATATAGTCAACCTTAATCTTAACTGATATCATTTCAAGGTCGTGATCTCTGCTGCAATTTAACTATCCGCGTTTTTCAATAAATTAAAATTCTCGATTTTCCAACCCTGACAATTACGATCAATAAACTTAAACAAGCGAAAAAGTCTCTATTTGCCAAAAAGCTTACAAAAATTTCTTCAGTTTATGTTAGTATTTAAGTTGATAATTCAAAATTCGCATTTTTCTCTCTCCCATTATGCTTTATTGCAGTGTCATTTAGCGAGCGTTGTCACATCAACAGCATCTGTGAGTATTTTATATTATTAATTTAATATCTACAAACACAGAAGAAAATGTTTATTTGTTCATTGTATCAGCGAGTTTACATATCATAACTTTTATGTCATTATATCACATAAATAGAGCTGCAGCGTATGCGATGGTACACAAATGAGAACAACAAGATTGAGAAGCTGTTCGAAAATGAGACACAACCTCCATAATAATTGTTGTCACAATCATCATCATCATTATCATAGACGTAATCGAGTGATAAAGCTTAATAAACGATGTACATTTGCAACAACAACCACTGATATACCAAATACAAATGAGCTTATAACTGAGGAGAATCAGCATATGTCATTTAAAAGCCAAAGTTCGAATTCAAGCAATGCATCATCCATTAGGATTATTGAGTAGTAGACATGATATGACATGTGGTGTAGAAAATAAATCTATATAAGTTATTTTTTCAAAAGGAATCAAAATCAAGACACAAAATCTATATTAGTGACTGATAACTTACTTTATATTATCTGGATCATGATTTTTTTACTTAATATGCTCACTGTAATTCATAGATGATACGTAGGATGGGATTATAATGTGTAATAGTGTTGTTAATTATTATAATAGGGCGAATTATAAATCTTCATTTTTATTCACAAATTTTATTGCTTTCACGGATATTTCTGCATGGTAATAACTAATGGGAATTGTATATTGAAGGATTTAAAGTTGCAATCATGATTTTTGAAAATACAAATAAATCCTAAACTTCAAAATGTTTGAAAACTTCCAAAATCTCAAAAAACAAAAGTTAAATCTCAAATTACCTGCCAAACTCTTAATCTCCATCAACAAATAATCATCAAAACGTCTCGAAGCAAATAAAGCTCCAGAGTATTACATCATAAATCCTTCAAAACCTCTTTACTCTTCAATTTCCATTCCATTTTCACTTCAATTTCCATAAACCATCTTTAAAGAATAAAGAAGAACTAAAGCAGATCATTGAAATGACAATAAGAAGTTTATTTTAACAAAAAATATGAATGTTGTTTCTTTAAGGCATTAATCTATCAAGACTTCCAATCATTCTCCATCCTTATCAATTTAAATTTCCTTCAATCTTCTTCTCCTGCGTTCTTTTTTCAGTTGATGTCTTGTTCGCTTTTACTTTTCTGTTCCATGCTTTGTACTGAATGATAGATAACGTTCATAATGTTCAGGAAAAAAAAAAGCCACAGAAACCCAAGTAATCTGCACTGAGAGAAATCATTTGGTTGTGTTTAGGGAAGTCGCTTGCAAAAGGTTTGTTTGCATATTTCAGTTAAAATCAGTAAAGGACAACCTCTTTTATGCCACGGCACACCTGGGTGGTAAATCATTACCAAAACCGCACACGGCACACGGTTCGTGGGATTTCTTGAATTTTTCGCGGCACATGGGTTGGCCATTACTGGTTTAGGACTTAATAAAGTATCCAAACCTGCAACTTACCTGTAGATCTCCCTAAAACTGCCATATGTGTATACTAATGTAAAACAAGTCGGGTCTGATGGGAATCCAACCAACAACCTCAAAAGAGGCTATCTCTGACTACTCGATCAGGTACCGAGGTACATATCTCACTTCGGCTATCAGTCATACACATATAACCAGTTCAAGGAAAGCCTTATGATCAGGCCTATCTTCTACAGATATGCTCTTGGAGCCATATCCACAATAAATCTTAACTACAAGTTAATTTCTGTAAACATCACTTAACTTAATTCAATTTTAGAATGCCACTAAATAAATTCGTACCAAGTCAAACTGTTCAGAACCTAATATATTTACTATAAAATCGACTTGAACTTCTGTCTAGGAAAACAATCAACATCTAAAAATATTCGTCTACTTGAATTACTAATACTCTGTTTTGATACCAAATATATATTCGTGTATCCATGTGAACTGCTCATTACGATAATTTATTTATGACTTCAATATCAGTAATTAACAAAGTCTTTGACTAGAATGTGTTTATTGTTTACTAATTCAACAATATTAGACATTATAGTTCGGTATAATGATTAATTTGAAGGTTTTGATCGGTTGTTGATGATAAAGATTGTTTACATAATTGTTATCCTTTGTCTCAGCGCTAGAATTTATTATTAATTCAATTAGTTGCTAAAGGATCTGGATATTCCTTCTTATCTAATGGCAGAACCATTCTTTATAAGGTTTGATAAATATCCCATTTTTACTTTCTAATTTCAAAATTAAAATGCTGTTAAAATTAATTTCGAGATTTAAAATTAATCTTTATTTCTCGTCAATTCCAAATTGTCATGTGGGTATGTCTAACTCAAATTACCAGCTAGAAGCAAACAAAGCGTTCTAATAAAAAGCTCATTTTTCAATACAATCATGTAGAAGAATTTTGTTTTTCTCATCTGAGTGTAAATATGCAAATTAGGTAGAACAAGAAATCGATGAAAAATTGAGTTTAAAAGCAAAGTTTAAGTTTAAGTTTAAGTTTATTAAGCCATTCTAAATACAAAATAAAAATTTTTCAAATAATAAGTAAGGAACGTGTTACTAGATGGCACTGCAATTGCAGTTGGTAGAATTAAATTTCTTTAAAATTAATATAAATTGATGATGTAAAAGAAGAAGAAGAATATGTGGTGTGATAAATCGATCAAAAATTAGTTTGACGATTAAATTAACGTTCGAAAAAAGTTTGAATTTTACAACTGACATATCATATTTAAATTTTTGTTGTTCTAAAATTTGAACTAAAAAAATGTTTATAAACAAAAGCATATGATTAATTAAATCAGTGAAAAAGTGAATTAAATGTGTTGACAGCAATTGGTGATAGGTGATTCAAGAGATTCGATGCGTCTGAAGTTGGTCCGGAGCAAAGAGAGAAAATGAAAATTTAAAAATAAAATGCTTGAATAATGTGAATGAAGGCAGGAAGTGAAGCACAGATGAGATGAATTTTTCCTTTGAATCCTACAAAGTACCAGGAAATAGTAGCAATTTTTTGTTTGTTTAAATATCATGAATGAGGAAAAAGTACACCTATTTGCAATATCCATACAACCCATACCTACGTACTTAAGTATTTAAATAATATGTAAAAGAAAAGTATATATTTAACTGAATACGGGTAAAAAAATGAAATTTTGTTGTGAGATTTGTTAACTTTAAAGAGTAAAAAAATAAATAAAATTGTCTTCGTCTTATTCTTCTATCCTTTATATCTATTTATTCTAGTCAACCCATCATTAATCTTAAGCTGAAGAAAAAAAAGAATTATGGATGATGAATATTATTTTATAAGGAAGAAAAAAAAGAATTCCTAACGATATAAACAATGTGAAAAATACTTTATATACACACATAGGATGAATGAATGAATGTTAAAAATGAAAGATTATATTTTTATATGATGGAAAAGTTATTGCATTGCAAGGCGTGTACACTTTATTGCTTTATAGTTCATTAAAGATGATTTATTGAATTTAATAAATGATTTTAAATCTTACAAAGTTTGAATTTCTAGATTGTTAACAGATCTAAAAATATCAAGCACTAAATTAGATTGAATCATAAAGTTTCCAATATTGAATAAGCAATCATTTAATAATTCAAAATGGTGGCTTACTATTCAATTGAAAATTATGAAATTAACAACTTTTCAGACTTAACTTGGCAGAACTTTTGATAAATATCCTTTTGCTCACTCAAAATAAATCAAATTTTTCCATTGAATTAAAAATATAAGCAATAAAAAGATCAAAATTTTTGCAATAAAATCTTCAGGTGAGAATTCAAAATGATGGAAGTTTCAAATGAAATTGAATTGATTGATTTATTATTCAATAACTCTAAATCTATTAAATATCAACAATGAAAAACAGATTTGTACTTGTTGCTGACATTTATCACAATTTGTAAGAACTTTTCCAAACACAATCATAATCCATCATTGGTTGAATGAAAGTCAAACATGAAAGAACTATAATTGAACATTTCCAAGAGTACATACTTTGCAACAATGCGGATAAACTGGTCTTGATATTTTTCGTTCTTGACACCTCAGCAAGAAAAAGAGAGAAGTAAATAGATATTAAACCTATCATCCAACTTATAGCATTTTACCTTCCATCTCCATTGCTCATTCATTTGCTCGGCATTCGTGTGAGAACATAATCCTTTAGAAAAAGCAAACTTTACTATTACGTGAATTATGGATGAGTTATTATTGTTGCTGCTTCATTTATGCAATTTTATCTTCACTTTTCCTTGTATGCACTTAGATTTTTTCCTCATACAATCATACAATAATGGAATGAAACTTTCCTCTTTTTTTTATCTACCTTTGCATTTGAAATTGGCTCTCAACTGCAACGATAGATGTGAGGAATGAAAAAAAAACGTGTGATATATCAGCACACATTGTATGTGGAAGAAGAACTAAGTTTTGAGGATGTGAAAATCAGATAGGAATAAAAAAATAAATAAATAAAGTTTGTAAAAGATATTCGGTAAGCTTAAAATTGCACAAACGAAGCCCAAGTATACGTGATGAGAATGCAATAAATGCAATTTTTGTGAATAATAAAAGAAGTAGCATAGCAAATAAATTTTGTAAATATAAAGAAAATATTTTTATCTGTTAAAAATTGAGATGGGAAAATTGTAAGGAATAAAAAGATCAAAAAATGTGTAGAATTCACGGATTAAAAAAAAATTATTTCATTGCTAAAGGTTGTAAATTTTTATGAGTGAAAAAATGATGTGAATAAAATTTAAGTTATATTTAGCTAAAGAAACCCTGAAAATACATTTTTTGTTTTAATTTTTACAACTTTTTGAATCATTAAGTCCAAAGTTGTGATATAAAAGGAATGTGTTTCAATTTATTTTCTGCTTTTCAGGTTAATCTTCAACGCTTTTGTTCAGTTTTTTAATTGAAGCTGTAAAACATCTTAAGGGGCCGTTCGCTCATGACGTCCAGGGGGGGTCAGGAATAAAAGAACAATAGAAATTCCTGAAAATCCATTGTTCTTTTTTTAAAAAATTACCGTTAATTTTTCGGACGTCACAAGTGAACGATCTCTAAGTGGACCAATTAAAAGAGAAATTTCAAGTCGGCAACATAATTTTAAATTTCATTTCAATGAAAAAGAAAGAATTTGTTAAAATGTTGGAAAAATTTCGAAGCTTATCAAATTTCAACGGATCTTCAAGTTTCAAAATTAATCAAATTTTTAACCGGTTTTTTAAAATTCATATAACCGTTTTTAAGAACACAAATTTTTAACGAATTTATAAAATTCAAATTTTCAAGTCGTCAAAAAATATCAAAAGTAAAAATTTTTAACCTTTAATTTTTCAAACTTAAATTTTCAATTTAAAATCCTAAAATTCATATCACATGATTGACATAAACCCACCC